CTATATGATTTATATGTAGTTGTTCAAAATCTTTTCTAGGTTCACGAAAAGAATGATTTGTCAAAAACTCTTAGATAGAATTAAATAAATTTATTTGAAAAAAAAAAAAAAAACTACTGACTCTAGAATGACGCTCTTACTAAAAGGTGGTGTACAATAATTCGTCACCATCAGGATCTGGCGATTGGGTCTCCAATAAAAATTTAAGTAATAATAATAATCCCAATAAATTCTTTAAAAGGGGAGTATATAAAGTATTTTCTTCCTTCCAGCATGCGTTTGTGGTGTAACGGTAGCAATCTCGGCGCGTATTCGGGAGGTCCAGGTTAGAGTTCCGACGAGGACATTGCTAATTTTTCACGTCGTTAGCATAACAAAAAACCTAATGAATCTACATCTATATGACAGTAAAATTAAAGAAAAAAGTAAATACAGTACCTTTAAAAAATGCTTAGTTTTATACTAATATAGAATGTGATCTATTTAACTTGTACTCTCACACGCAGATATATATCAATAGCTTTTCATGCTTTCCGTAAATGACGTTAATGACGTTAATGATGTTTAAGGAAATAAATTCCACTTCTGCAAAATCCACTCTTGAAGGGTACTTGTTTTTAGTTTTCTACACCTGAGAACTTGTCCATGGTTTATAGCAGCAGTTTAGCTGTATTTTTAGAGAGCAAATATTATGTCTTTTGAAACACTCAGCCATCTTGTTAAACACTTGGAAGAAAATGCTTCATAGAGACCAACAGCTCTGCATATCAAAGAATATTCCAAGTCATAGTTCTCACGCTAATAAAACGCTATTTTGATGAACATAAAGAATATTTTGGGATACTCTTCTTTGAAAAACTACGTTTTCTACGCTTTTGGATGGTGTTGTACAATTATTTACATTTAAAAAATTTTTATATCTAAATGCAGTTTTAAACCCAATGAGTTCCTCTAGATCATCTAAACATAATTTATAATTATGATTAATTAAATTATGTAAATCATATTTTAATTTAAACTTTAATGCCCCGAGAATGCTTCTTAATACCAACTAAAACCATTTAGCCATAAATTTATCATCGAAGAATATTCCTCTGAAAGTGAGCTCACCAGCGGCCGAGCGGTAAAGTCGCTGAACACTGGTAGTTCGGTCCGAGGTTCGAATCCCGCGAACGGGCTGGCTGCATGGGCGTTTTCGTGGTTTTCCCCATGTGTAACGTGTATACGAGCCAGTTTCCCTTAGAAAGTCCTCCACGAAGGCATCCCTCCCCTTAGGCAGATAGCCCTCGAGGCTTTGCCATACATAATCACACACACACCTCTGAAAGTGAAGTTTACTATGCAGTTTGTAAAAGTGTTTAAACAATATTATGAAATTTCTTTATTGCGTTAAATATGCTTCCTTTTATTAAAAAATTTCTAGAAAGTATCAGTTAAACAATATTCATCACTTTGTGAGGATCAGTTTGAACACACACTTACCAGCTGAAATCAGTCAAAAATGAAACTGTAGTTTAGCGCAAATTTTGAATAAAAATCTGTCGTTTTCAAGGAGCAATCAGACACAATCTCTCTTGTGCAGAAACCAGTCGTGATGAGCAGCGGTCATTTTACATCGAACGTAATGGAGAGGCATGAAAACAAAGGTAGCGTCTTGGCATTACGTAAAATTATAATGAAGAGTTAAACTCAAGATATTAGATTTCGGAAAGCTTTAGTAAGAATTGGTTTTAACTTCTGTCATTAACTAAAGCTGTTACATTGGCTTTAAGAAATAAATGTTTATTTTTATTAAAAATGTTTTATTTTTATTAAAAAAACATACTTTTTAAATTTAATACCTAACCAATTTCCTAGACATCTTCACCTAACCCCAATATTTACATGTAAAGATAGGCTCGTTTAGCACTGTTTCACATTACGCTCTACTTTGATGGAACGTATCCCCGGCGTTAAGCGGGGTCTTACTGTACATATGTTACGGTGAAACACCGAAATCTGGAGAATGTCGACTTTCACCGGTGAGTGTAAACATTCACATAGTCTCTTGGTGTATGTCCGAAATATTTTCCAAATACTCTTATTTCTGACTTACACCGGTCAATGCCGACATTCACCAAGTACTAATGGTGAATGTTGAACATATAACAGTATTATATTTTCTTCTCCGTTATTCAGTCGCGAATAAACGCATTTGAGGCTTGAAATAAGAACATGTGAACCTAAAACACACAATACATTCTAAATGAGAAAGGAAAATAATAGAAGTTAAAAACTTACTTAATTATACAGTACGTTCTAAATGAGAAAATAAAATAACAGTAATAAAAAACTTACCAGTGATTCAAATCTTATTTATTGCAACAACTTAAAACTATTATGGCACTTTATAACCTCTCTTTTCGACTTTCACCTGAGCATATCTGTGATTGTCGACATACACCGGTGAGGGTCCGAATATACAAGAATGTAGTGCAATATTTGATCTTTCACCGACGTATTTGGTGAATGTTGACATTCTGCGGTGAAAGTCGACATTCTCCAATTTCGGTCTTTCACGGTAACATATACATAAATGTAGATGGTGGTATAAGGAAGAACGGTAACATATACATAAATGTAGATGGTGGTATTTAGAGCCCTACTTTAGCATTTTCAGGGACACAGCCAAATTTAATTTTTATGAATGACAACACTCGTCTGTTGCTAGTTTTCAATTTCTTTGTGGATTGATTCCGACAGCGCTCGGCCATCGACATGTGAAGACTTCCGAACGCTGAAACATATAACATAAAGAATAATGATAACATATTTGAAAAGAAATCGTAGCTGTAAATAACTAGAAGCGGTGTTGTAAAAACAGTTTGCGATAGAATGTCTCTTCCATTTTATTTAATTTCAAGGTTTTCTCTCTAACATGTACCCTCACGTAAGAAAGAGAGGGAGAAAAAAAGAGATGATGTTATCAAGTTAAACTAAACCGTATAAAAAAGCGGCGCCTGAGAGAAATGCTTAGTTATGGATATTTCTGAACGGAACATGGTACTATTTCTAATTCATTTACTTAAATTCATTGCATAGCTTCTTATTCCTTTCATTTTTATTGCTTTTAAGTACATATTTAAAATGAATGCAAATTTATGCTGCCTATGCTAAACGTTGCGAACTTTCATTATGTCTTTCACTACGCTTTTCCACTTTAAATCTGTTTAAATGAATTTCCTCAGCTTCACGCAAATGCAGCAGAAAGTAAGTTTTCATCTGTAAATAAAGAAATAACATATTACGATTATTCAGTCTATCCTCTATTTAACTTCTTAAGCAATTTTGATTAGTATAAATTAGTAGATTATTTTGCATGTCAGATTATAACTGCAAGTTTAAAACTTCATTTCAGATATCATGCAAGTTTTATTCCGCATAAACATGACGCCAGAGAAACATGCTTAATTAAAACAAAGCATTAACTGCAAATGCAGACAAGACACTTAATTATGTTGTTTAAATTAACAGAATAATTATGGTTTAAGTGAAGTCTCAGTTACAAGATTAAAATTTCTAGTAATTATATTTTAGATATTTCTGAGGATTTAATGGATTTACAGTGGGAAACTCTGTATTCACAGAAACTCTTTCTGTGGTTTTAATTTGACTAAGGATATTATGATAATGACAAGTGAGGACTATATTCAGATGTAAACAGCAAATTAGTAGATTGCATAAAAAAATCTGTGACGTATATAGGATGATATGCGGCATTAGAAACGAATTTATTAGTTTTACCAATCTTTTAAAATTTTAAGATTACTGTAAAATTAAATCAATAAGCCAAGACACCAAAATTTAGCATTCAGAACATGAATTAATAATAATTACATAATTCCTGCCAAGTACAATTTGTGCAAATTAATAACTAAAAAACTTCGATCTTTCAATTTTTCTTTCAATATTTATCAAATTTTCTATCCCAAAAAAGGGAAAATTCTGTAAAATCAACTAAACCTTAATATGTGCTTTTACAAGGTAGAGAACGTAATGGCTGCTTGCCGTTGTTGTCTGGCCCATATATTTCATGGAAGAATGATTGCCAGAACCTCAAGGAGGTTGGACTTTTACTTCCATCCCCAGAGCGAGCACCCTCGGGTTTGGTCCGTAGGAACCCCCCTCAAACCTACCACCAAACCACACGAGAGGGCTTTTGGCTCACAATCTATTTGGAATGTCCCCCTGCCGCAAAGACATTATACATTTACATGCAACTATGCTTTCTCCAGGATTCGAACCTGTGGCCTTCGTTACCGCAGTAGCGCTTCTTAACCACTATAACACGTGGGTGGCTAATGGCTACTGAAAATATAGAAAATATTAAATATTCCTTTTCGAAAATAGCTTACCAAAATTTAAAATAAATATTAAAACTACTGAAGTAAGAAACAAGGAAAGTAGAAATTTGTACCTAAATAGTTATTAAAGTGTACGAGATCATATCAAGATATGCTCCTGTGTTCATACAAAACTAGTAAGCAAAATGCAGTGTTCGTTATAATTGCGATTATTTTTTCTTTTATTGGAAGACAAAACAAAGAGATCCTAAGACAATTTGAGATGTTAAATAAAAAATATTTCACCTATGAAAGCGTCCATAGGTCTTGAACCTGAAATAAGTACATTATTTAGTAAAAGAATAGTAAGAAAATATTAAACAACTTTTCAAAATTATTACGAAACTGTAATATTCAAATTATTACTTATTTTGGAAAAAAAAATAAATAATTTAATTTTATAAATTTTATTTTACCTGTATTTATATTTTTACATTTTCTTTCAATATTAATTTTTATAATTTAAATTTAATTTTAACAAAATAATGCACATTTCCACAAGTAAAATAATTTATTTATTCTATTAGTTACATATTTCCAGCACAATATTACTTGGTTTCGCTATTCTTTCGGCTTTTGTTACAAAGTTTTAATGTTATTGTAACTTTTTCTTTTCAGTGAAACCAGTAGATGTAAGAATAGACCCAACTCGACAACCCCTTAGCGCTGGTCAAGAATATGAATTCACGTGTATGGCAGCAGGTTCCAGACCACCAGCAATAATCACGTGGTGGAAGGGCAATAAGCAACTGAAAAATCCGGATGATAAATCTACACAATCAGGTGATGTCACAACCAGCATTTTCACCTTCACTCCATCAGTACAAGACAACAATGTTCACTTTTCTTGCAGAGCACACAACCCTGTTATCCCAGGCAGTGCAGAATCTGATGGCTGGACACTCGAGATACACTGTAAGTTCAAGAAATTAATATCTATATTGATAAACTGACATTAAATAGTAAACCTAGAAAATGACAAAAATGAATGTACTGAAATACTTAAACATATACTCTTCTTTTCACAACTAAAATCGTGAATAGTACGAAAATGTGATAGATATAATAGTAAATAGGTATATTTTTATTGCATGTCAACCATTATTTTACTGCCAAGGACAGAATTTTGTCTTATAAAATAATAATAGTAATAAAGGAAAGTTTGTTTAATTCTTTCGCACCGGTAGAGGTCAAAATCTGTTTCTCTAAAACATTTGAAACACACTTGTATACGAAGTTTTGTTGAAATTAATTTCCTTCCATGCCAAGTAAAATGCTACAGAGTTAACAATAGCCTACTCAAGTGAAGCGATTACGTCTCTCTTGGGGATCTTTATGCAGTTTAACCCACTGTGTGCATTTGTCGCTTAGGACAGGACTGAAACTTCGAACGTCAATAGCTAAACGTTGTGCTAAACAAAGGTGCTTAAAATAACAAAGGTGCATAAATTAAAATAATGCTAAGTTAGTTTTAGTCGCTTCAAAAGAATGATCGGCATGTCGTTTAGCAACTTTCGAAACCAATAAGGCATGCACTAGAAGTTTCTCACGCAGCTATAAATACTAAAGCAATTCAGAACAATTTATTTAGGTGAAAATTTTTCGCAATGTATGTAGCAACAAAAACAAGATATAGAAAAAAAAAATTAAATGCAGAATATGATATATGCAAGCACAATTCTGTATACCAAATATGATGCAAGGGTTGGTAATAACTAGAGCAAGAGGTATTACTATTAACGAATAAATTACATAAATTTTATATTAAAGGGTTTTAATTAAAATGTAATACTTTTTTCTTTGTCTTTACATAAAGTACCTGTAACATATTAATCTACTTTAGGTATTATAATTTAATATATATTTTTCTAAATATGGGATAGGGTTCCTCGAAAACCCTTTGAGTGCTAAGGGTTCCGTGAGTCCACAAATTTTGACGACCACTTCCCTAGAAATATATTGTTTTTAGGAACTCATACGATCGTCAGATAAACGCATGTTTAAAAAAGAAAAAGAAAGGAGAAAAATATATTTAAAATATGGTGGCACTTTATGCGGAAAATGAAAGAATTTAGCATTTTATTTATAATTATTATTTATAATTGTATTTATTATATTATGGTATAAAAGCAGATTTATTTGGTAATATTTTATGTAATAATAAAAAAAATATGATGTAGTTAATTATTTTAGATGGTAAGTTTAGGAGCCCACTTGTTAAATAATGATACGAATTTTAACTATAACTTGGGGTATACCTAGAGGAGTTGAGTGGAGTTCCATAGTTCAGGAGGAACTGCATAATTCAGCAGAATTCATTTTGAATCAATCAATTTCGATTCTCTCCATATAATAGTGTTTAGAAACGCCCAACTGCGATAAGATAGCTTCCCCGCAAAGTGTGCTTAGGGTTGCTAGAATGACTTGGTACCCTAAACCACGCTTAGCCTTTGCGGGTTTAGGGTGCCAGGAAAGGTAGGGTGTCAGATTCGGCTCAAAATCGCCCATTTGGCGACAAAACTGGTGATATGACATAGACCGAGCGGGAATATTCCAGAACAAAGTCTAACCGGTTTTTCCAAAAATGCTCTCCAAGGTAGGTCAAAAGCTATAAATACACTGCCTGTCCGCGGAGTAGCATTATATAAAATATTTATGATTTATGTATTTTATTATTATATAACATATTTCAAAATATCTTAAGTTTTGTCGTGAAGAGTATCATGAGTGTGTAAGATGAGCTTGACAGCGATCGACCGAGTCGGGAGCTGTACATTTGTGCTTTGCCGTGAAGTTGTATGCACCGTTAAAGCCTGATGCCTGTAGTACTGATTGTTTCAGGGTGTTTGTCATAGTTTTTTGACGACTGTAACGCGTCTTCGGAACTGTTCTGTGTAATACTAACGAATAAACTGTGTTTTGTTGCTTCTTTAAATGCTGTCCTTAATCACTCCAAATTAACGAACACGTAGAACACAGCAATATGTATACTGCACGTCCTATCAAATAATTTCTACGCAAATTTTACCTCAAATGTAACATGTTTTTGTTGTGACTTATCACACTCAGAAAAAGGAAGATAATTTAAAATTTAGCTACATGTTTTAAGGAATAAATAAATTAATAATATTTAAATTATAATCAATTCCTTCCTGTCCAATAATATAAGTCTTCTTTCATATTTTAAAGACGTTCCTCACGTGACTCTTCGACTTGGAAGTACCTTCAAGAAAGAAGAAATTCAAGAAGGAAATGATGTATATTTCGAATGCAACATTCACGCCAATCCTTGGGTAACGGAGGTCAGTTGGTATTTTAAGGGCCAAGAACTGCGAACTAATACCTCAGCGGGTATTGTCATCAGCAACCAATCTTTGGTACTTCAAAAAGTGCAAAGAACGAATCGTGGCCTTTACTATTGCATGGCCACAAATTCTGAAGGAACAGGAAGAAGTAATGAGGTTTTCCTAAGAATACGATGTAAGTTTACTTTCCTTTTGGTTATAACTTGATTTTAGGCATTATTTTTATTCTTTATCTCAAGTATTATTGAAATTTTATGTCTAAATATTGCAACCATTTATTAATGAAAATTTTGAGTAGTAAATAATAATAATAATAATCTGAAGCTTTAAGATTTTAAATTACGCTCAAATGGTCGTTTTGTGTGTTACTTTTATATATTAAATATCATGTTCTTCGCGCTTAAACCATAAATTTCAATTCACCAGCAATATCGCAAACTAATTTAAAGGGAGCATATCTTTAGATTTTCCGATACACAGTCTCGCGCACTGGAGATAAATAAGTCTTTTTTTTTATTTCCTTGTAGTCCATTGCTCGCTTTGAAATCGTTGAGTTTGTTAATCAAAAATCTTTAATGTTTGACAAAATAAAAATTCCAAGTTTGGGCTTCCAGATGCCCATATTCAAATGAAAGACAACGTTATTCAAAATTTTATGTCTCTAGGTACCGTTGTGTTTTCACAGTGCGGGAAATATATAAACGTTCATGGATATTCTTCATTATTTAATTTCTTTAAATATAATGCAAGGCACTAATATTTGGTGGTATCAATTTTAAAAGTGAACTGGCATTTATAGGGATCCGACACAAAATGCCAAAACGAAATTTAATAGCCCTTCTGGGCAAATTGCTCCTTTGGGCTAGTAATAATAATACTAATAATGAAATCCGCGGAAAATACTATAAATGACAGTCTGTAAATATCATGTTACAATTTAATAATTCAAAGAATACGTTACCATGAAAATTTCAAGTTTGAGAGGGATTTGTGAAAACATTTTGTCCCATTTACTCAAGATATCGCAATAGAAATAATTGTTATTTTCTACAAAGAAACTACAAATATTCACAAAATATTATCAATTGATGTAAATTACAAGAATGTAAAATTAAAGTTTTGATAAATATAAGGTTTACATACAATATAAATCTCATCTGTAAAAAGTTACATATAAAGGCAGGACACGATTTCAGTTATATATAGAAATGACTGAGTTATTCAGGTACTGTATGAGTTATAATTATATAAAAGCAGGACCAAAATATCACCAAATGGCGCCTTGGTGACTTTGGCGACATTTTGTTCTTGTTTCTCGCCACGGTTGGCGACTTTTGTAGATTTCCCGCCAAATTTGGCGACAAAAATGAGTCATTATTACCAGTTGGCAATATCTTGCCAATTTAACAAACTAGCCAATTACTCCAATGTTAAAAACACTTGCCCTAGTAATCTCATTTTTCCAACAAAACTTCCTCTCTTCAGACTTTTTATGTTACGTTTTACCATAATTCCCCATATAACTTAACTATAATTATTTATCCACAAAATTCGTTATATTATTTTGTAACTGTTATTATTTATTACTACGTATACCGCAGCGAATTACTATTGTATGATTATCTGTTCGTACAATTATTGTTGTACTGTTTTTAAAGGATAAGGATTTCTTTTAAGAATTTTTCAAGAGTTTCAAAATTTTAAAAGGAGTTAAAATTTGCAATGAACCAAATTTAGAATGTAGCCGGGAGTGAAAATAAGTATTTGTCAGCCTATTCGATCGAACATCAAAATAATTGCTTTGATTGTCAATTCACGGTTTTCAACTCTAGCAAAATACTCAATCTCGTTTCAAGAACTCTAACACATCTTACATCTTTTTTTCATTTTTCATTAAAACGATAAAAAAAGTACTGTTGAAACGAAAATCCTCTAGAAAAGCAACAAAGTAAATGCAAGCATCAGCAGAGAAATCCAATTAGTTTCCGTTCAACCGTAATTTATTTACTTTCGGCTCCCTTTGAGATGTTCCGTTGAAGTACCTCATTGGCCTCGATTCAAATGGACTCTTTTTCACAACCCAATTCAGAAACACTAATTTACCATATTTTCAACAGAAGCTAAGGCGTATAAATCATTCGAGTCTTTATTCAGCTAAGGAAGGATACGGAGAATTAAAAATGAGATTATGATCCGGAATCTAGTTTCGAATTTCATTTTTTTATACTTCATAGGTTATATTTCCTGTCTGTCATTTAATAAATGTCTTTTGATCTTAAATTAAAAATAGTAATTTAAAACGCGTAAAGATTCTTGAATATTATTACCGATCAACGTCAACGAATATTTTTTTCCTGTAGGTGCTTGGCATAGATTTATTAAAATTCGGAATAAAATTTCTTTCTGAATTTTCCTGTCTTTGATCATTATGAAAAGGAATACTTTATGCTCTTCAGCAATTTATGAAAGTCCATCGAATTCTTTATTCTGAAGTGGAGAAAATGTCTTTAAAATTCTTGTGTATCAGCGATGGCACGATTTCTGAGGTATTACCTGAAGTCTTTAATTTGAATCACCTTAATATATTGATTGCGCTCTATATTTAGATTAGGTACTGTATGGACTATTATGAATTTTTAAAAATTAGGTGCGGCTATAAATACCTGCATGCATATTATGAAGAAAAAAAGAAGCTTGCAGTGGTGGCTGATTTTAATATCCTTGTCTATTCTGGTTGGGAAGCATTTCTTAGCCAACATAGAAAAAATGGCTCAGTAAGTTCCTGTTCTCCCAAAAATTAATACTAAATATTTGATATATTCAAAAATGTTGTCATTATTTTTTGGTTTTGACATTTGCAAATGTTTTTCCTACTAGCATTCTAAATTTAGAATTCACGTAAATTTCTGCGTAAAATATACGTTTGTTAAAATTTAAAAAAAATGCGCAAATTTGCGTACATTTTCAGTAAAATATACGAAGTAAGAAATTGGGGAGATTTACGTATATGTGGTAAATATACGTAAATTTTCAAAAACAATATATATAAATCCTTAAAATGTACGTATATTGTACGTAAAAAGTACGAAAAAAGCGCGATGATTTGTATGAATATACCTACATTTTACGTATAATTTACGTATATTGTAACGTAAAAATATACGTAAATATATACTAATTTTTCCTGGACACTTTTCATAATATTTTTACGTTCAAGTTTTATTTATTTTATACGTAGGACCATTCGTATATTGCATGTATTTTTCGCGTGCAATTTACGAATGCATGCTGCCTGGGAGCTTTCATCCTTATAGCATTGTCTATAGTAGTCATAGCAGACCTTTCCACCTATAGTAGTCATAGCAGACCTTTCCAGCACGGTGTGTTATAATTCCGTTAAACCCTAACTAACTCTGGAGCCGTGTCACATATAGAATCATCCGTCTGAAATCCGTGTCATCCATCTGCCAGGTATGCATTCGGACGTATCCGAGGCAAGCTCAGCACATGCTGACAATGTCACCATTGCAAGAGAAATAAATGCTTTTGTATTGTAAGGATCCTAAGTTTTACTAACGTTTATTTTATTTTAAAACTGTACTATCACTTCTTATTTTCTACTTCCGGCCAGAATTAAATGCTTTAACTTGTTTATGCAAATTGTCTTGCTAACGCCCAAGTATTTAAGTTGTGGCTTTTTGCCAAGAGTTGGAGAGAGAAGGAGATTTAGGAAGCAAGCTGCTTGCCAAAATCAGTTCTACGAGTTTTCACTCAGTTCCTGTTTACCTTTAAGGCCAGAGGTTTAGCCCACTTGATATTTGAATCGGAAGTACTTGTAAAAGTATAGAAAATAAAGTTTTTCGTATACCCTTCCTGCTTGTGTCGTCTATTCCACCAAATCTTGAACCTAGCTTGAGTAAGCTCCCTGTTCCGATTCAGGACACATCATGTTTCCGAAGCAAATCAAGAGAAACACAAGTCCTGACAGTATTATGCAATATTTTTTGTCTTCGTTGATTACTTTGAAAATGCGTGGTGCGTGTCAGCCAAAATAGGTTCGTGTGTGACTTATGACATGCGTGTCATACATCGCCATCATTGGTCTATAGACTATGGTATAAAACAAAACTTGCTGGGATAAATTGTAAGGCTTGAAACCTACGTAAAGCACATTTCATTTCTTTCAGTAATAGATATAACAAGAAATTGGGAAAATTGCATTAAATAAAATGAGCGTCAGTGAATAACTACATCTCATATTATTTGAAAAGCGTTAGTGAAGTAAGAATTATTTAGCAATGCTTTATTTTATTAAAAACATTTATTCAATATGTTTCAGATCCTATTATGGGTTACTTAAGATTTTCATCTCCGCCGCCTTTTAGTTACTGAAATCTCTGTTATTTTCTTCCAGGATTTACACTTCATGATATTTTTATTCTGATTTAATTTCTGATTTTTATTCTGAAGTGCGTTTAATATTCTGTTGTTTAAAATAATGATTCGCTTCGGAGATAAAAGAATTAAAATACCGAATTATTTGTAAATAACTGCAGATACAAATTTTATATTATAAACACGGTTTTATTTATTTTCAAACATTTCAAAGTGTATTTTCGATAATAACTACTTACATTGGAAGTTCATATGGCGGCTATTTTGTTTTGAACACCATTCCGACGCATTCGTCCAGACTCTATTCTAACTGCGGGAATCCTGCTTTCTTCTTGTTGCTACTCTCGAAATATTTTTAAATCAATCATGGCAAAGCGGAAAAAGTTCTCATGAAGGGGTTGGTTTCGGTTATTTAGATTATGGCAACGCACTCGAACTCTTGAAGAAAATGGCACGCAAACACTCATAACACTAATCTTTCCAATGATTATAATAGTCTAATCTGCGTTCCATTCATGTCAGCTTTTCTTTCTTAATCTCACTTCAGCAGGAAAGTTTCACACGGATGGTTTCCGTTGCTCATATTCCTTCTTCAGGAATTAAATTTTCCTATGATATTTCCTATTTGCTTTAGGTTTTTACACTTTTCACGACCTCCGTATTATGAGGATTTTCAGTTAGAAATACTGTCCTTTTTTGCTCTCATCCCTCTTTGTGAAAGGTGAAGTCCACTTTAGGTTTGACAAGTTTTAGTGTAATGCATATGTATTAATTATAATA